GGGGGGGGTGGATTCAGGCAACTAAGCTAACCTAATACTGGTAATTTAAGTTACAGAATTTTATGCACTCCTATAATTTTTTCCTATTTTTGGTATAAATATAAAATGACTCAAATATATTTGATACAGTAAGGAACCTAAAATGATTGTTTTAAATAAATGTTTTATTTGTTTACATTGTTGTTTAATCTTTTCATCTTGTCAGTTACATATACATTATAAATGAAACAAAATTTATGACCATTTCAATAGAAAAATCGTTTCTGAATCATATTGTGACACCAAAAATAGGAATTGAATCGGATTGCTAGACACATCGAGAGTCACACCCCTATATACATATACACAAATACACACACACACACACACACACACATATATATATATATATGTGTGTGTGTGTGTGTGTGTGTGTGTGTGTACGTGACTAAATACTTTTTTTTAAAGTAAGATGAGGCGGAATTAAGTGCAGCTCAAGCCTTCTTTCTGCCAAGTTCAGCTTGTTTTGCTCCTTTCAGCTTATTTCTGCTAGTTTCAGCTTTTCCTGATCTTTCAGCTATCATCTTGCTGTTTTATGCTAATTTTAGCTTTTGTTTTCAGCTAACTCCACATTGTTTGAGCTTATTTCAGCTTATTCCACTTCCTTCTGGTAGTTTAAGCTTCTTTCCGCCTTTCAGCTATTTTTTGTGTGTGCAAATTTCAGCCTTTTTATTAACTAGTTTCCTAATTTTTGTATTAATTTCTGCATATTTAAACCTAATTTAGCAAAAATGTGTTATTTCGGCTTTCTTCTGATAATTTAGGCTTGTTCTTCCATGTCAGTTATAGGTCGACATTTTTAGCTAATTTCAGCAAGTTCTTCTGTAATAAGCATTCACACTGCATTTTAGCAGGAAATGTAATTTTTCTAGTTACACTGAATTCAGCAGACCACGCAGCAGGTAATATAATAAAAATATATATAAAAAAGGACTTGACCTGGATGTGGATTTTTTCTTCTGTTCAGGTTCAAGTTAACTTTGTCCTTACTACGGGCTTCCAAAGGTTGATCCCTCAATTATTTAAGAGTCTTGTGTTTCTGGTGTCTCAGTGTCAACTGACTCCCCCCCGGCTGCTGCTTTCTGCCAGGCAGATCACAGGACAGTGCAGGTGGCCGACTAAAACACTAAAAGCCTTGTTAAAAAAAGGATACAAAGGTAGACAGACTGATGTGGGCTGCACCGACTTCAGTCCATGCACTTTTTATGAAAATAACCACGCATCAAGTCAAAGCTATAAATGGAAACGCCATTAAAGCAACATGCTGGGTCAGTGCGAGGTGATGAGAACACTGCTAAAATAAGTCAATCCTTGCACTGGTGCACATTAATGACGATGGTGAGATAGAAAGCAGATGGCTTCCGTTTTATAATACTGCTCTATATTAATTATTTACAGAAAAAAGTTAATTTCAATTAATTCAATGCTTCTGAATGAACTTCAAAACGGGAAAAAAAATTGAAGCTCTTGAAGGAATGCATTTCACACTCTGCATTTTATGCAAGAATATTAAATTACTAAATATCGTGGTATTGCAAGATCTCAGAGTATGAGAATGACTTTCAGCGACAAAAACGTCAAATATCTGCAAAGCTGACCAAGTTGCAGCTATATATATATATATATATATATATATATATACACAGTTGCAGCTGAACTTGTGTTTCCCAATGTCACTTAGCTGTGGCGGCCATCTTGAATTGGGCAGGCTCCAAAAGTTAATCAGTTGCAGATGTACATCAGTTATTATTTTTTCCAAAAGTTTCATTAAAATCCAGCCTGTGGTTCATGACAATACTGTAAAAAATATGTTTTGTGACTTGTTGGCACTCGGAGTACGTTAGAGATCAGTCTCAGCTACTACCACATCAACTTTTAACTCAACATCTAAGAGTTATTACCATGTCTGTGTCGGCTAATGTTGACTACAAAAGTTACTGAGTTGTATAAGTAAATCCAAAGACCGTCTCATTAAATTTCCCATGAATTCACGAGTTATTTTGCTAACACGCACTAACACACAAGTGAAAACACTGTCAACGTGCTCAAGTTCACGTCTTCATCACTGAAAGAGTGAAAATTCTCTCTCAGTAAAGTTATAAATTAGTTTGGCTGTAGTTAGTCAAAAAATAAACAAGTAATTAAATACTTAAGAAGCATATAACTAGTTTTTTCTCGGTTCTTTGAGAAAACCCCAAAAACGTTCAACTTCTGTTTTGTTCACCATCATAACAAAAATCAAAGCATCCAGTGATCATGTTAGAAATTTAATAATCCACTAACAAACTAAAAACATTAAAATGGTCCTAAATGAACAGCTTCAATTAAAAATAAAGAGGGTTATAAAGAGTCAAACCAACTACAACCTCAACCCCATCCCACGTGACTGACCATGTGCACCACCTCCGGGTAGATGGGCTCTGTGATGACATTCCTGTTGTGGGTGATGTACTCCACCATTTCGCTCAGGGCCGCCCGCTTCACCTCCTTCCATTTCAGGTCACTCAACGGGTCGGAGAGGAAGTCAAAGAGAACGCAGCACTGCCGCAGCTTCTGGATGAAGAGCTTCTCCTGTTCTGCAGGGGCCACATCTAATCACAGAGCGAGGAGGAAAACAAGAGGTGAGGTTGGCGGATAAGAAAAAGCTGAAGGGGCAGGTGATGGAGACCTGAAGGTGTAACATTACAGAGAGGAATGATACAGGATTCATTGCTTCAAAGAGCGAATTGGAGGAAGATGGAGAATGATGAAGACGCAAATGAGGGATGAAGGCTAACTGCGCTGACTGAGAGGCTGAAAGGTTTAAGAGGATAACGATCGCAGAATTTAGGGGAACACGAGGGTGGAAAATGAGCTAGTTGGTATTTGAACCAAGATAAAAACCTAGACGTTATTCTTTTACAGACAATATTAAAAAACATGAGTGCGTTATTTGTCAAACTCCATCTTCCTCTCCACCTGAACACATGGAGCGCAGGAAGGCCACAAACAGCCTCTACCAGTGAAAACTTCACATGTAACACCACAGGAAGGAAACAACTACCGTATTTTCCGGTCTATAAGTCGCAGTTCCTTGCATATTTTGCATGCCCTACGACTTACACTCCAAAACAACTTTTTTGTTTTTTCCCCATATTCATAAACCAGTTTTTGACTGGGATATAACCGTTTTCATTTATTCTGACTGAAAATATTGAACACTACCATTTTCAACTGGTAGATGGCACTCGAGTAGTATGGTATGCCGTTGTGTAATGTAATAGGTAAAAGTGGCAATTAATGACACTATCGGCTTGCCATAGTCTGTCACTGTCATCCAGCTACGGGTTCATGCCTGGAGCAACCGTCAAATCAGCTTCATTTCACGGTGCCGCCCCGGTAAAATGCAGTTGATCTGACCATTAAATTCCTTTTATTAAGTAAAAGTTGAACTGAGACACACCTTTACTATAAAGTCGAGCAAACAAATAATTGTTTTTACGTGGTTATCTTGTTAAACTTCAAAGAAATGCACAGCAAGTCGTCCCTCTGCGCGCTCCCGCAAATTGGCTTTTGAAATGCCGGGTTGTCGGCAGTGACGCATAATAGATGCGACTTGTACGGCGAAGCAACATATTTATGTTTTTCCCACTTTATTAGACTTATTTGGACTGATGCGACGTGTACAGCGTAAAATACTGAAGACACCAAGTTTCTTCTTGCTCGTGTGCTGCAGAGATGAACCCACAGCAGCACCAGTTACGTGACACAGCTTGGATGTAGCCTAAAGGGTTGTATCCGTTTGATCTGGCTTAGTAAAACCAGCAGTCCCAGTCAGAAATGTTTGGTATAACAACGTTTATTATGGTAATCTAGGTTTTTGTGCAAACAGTAGCATTTTGCATGCAATAAATGTAAATGAGTCCCCGTGGCTCAATGAGGCTAGCCTGTATAAATAAAGGTTGAATGAAAAAATAAACAGAAAAATTGAGATTATAACCAAATAATGAAGACTATTCAGCACTATTAATTATAATAAGCATGTACCAATCCAAGTTGTATTTAACAATAATATCAGCACTTTTTCTTTGAATTCATGCAGATGCACAGAGCACTTAAATCGTAAAACTTGTTGCATTTAAAAGTTTAAGTCAAACCTTTATTAGATAGTTGTAAATTTTTGGTTATATCGGTGACAAATTTACTGATTTTTTTTTATCTATTAGCTGAAATGTCAGAAGTGTCAAATGGGGCTGGCTCAAAAACTGGACCATGCAAAAACGACAGTGTGTGTCCCGTCCGTGTACTTCCTGCATCAACAAACTAATAATTCAACAACAGTCTGCACATTTCAGAGGAAGGACACGTGCAGTTTGCACCGCTGCTTTATTCAACAATATTAATGTAGAGCTCAGCAGGGCAATATAAAATGTTCAGTAATGAATGTGCACTCAGATCTGCTTCATGGCAGATGTTCGGACATGAAAAAGTAAGACAAATGTGTATTAATGGGGACTGCATTCCACATAAAGAGAGCTCTGCTGTGCTTTCACAAGTGCAGAAGTGGAATGCAGCCCACACCTACACCGGCCCCAGTTTGTGATGTCAAAATGCTCAGATCTGTCAAGACTTCTGTCACAGAAACAATCAGTTAAACAATGGATTCGTAACCAAAGTCAAATCATCTTGTATCTTGCTTTCATTAAGAAAGAAAAAAAATACTTGGCAGGTAATGATCGGTACGTATTACTATGGAGATTCAATTTAATTCAGTTTATTTATTTAGCGCCAAGTCACAACAGAAGTCATTTCAGGGCACGAAGCAGAGACATTCATATATAAAAATAATAATTTAACATTATTTATCTGAGGAGCAGACTGCTTGGAATTTAACTCCATCACTGAACTCTCATCTTGAGCATGAAGGCGACAATGGAAAGGAAAAACTCCCTCATGAGGAAGAAACCTTTAGCAGAACCAGGCTCAGGACAAGCGGTCAGTTTAAAAAATATATAAAAACACCTACAGAACTTAGGGCTGGAAAATAATATGATATCGATATATGTCACGATATACTTTTATTCAATAACGGTGATATGAGTTTTAAGCACATTTTTGATATTTCGATACGATTACAGCGTTTCACTGACGCATTTCTTTTTCTGTTCGGGTTGAAGCGGCCGCTTCAGTTTCAACCCGAACAGAAAAAGCTGCGACACTAGGAATGCATACGGTACACGGTAGAAACAACAGACATGTAGTCTATGATAGAGATCTGTATTCTACTAGATAACCGCAGTAATGCTGTGTCTGATGTAAAATCAGAGTTGTCAGATTTAACCGTTACGTTTTTCTTGTTGTTGAAAACGGTGCGTAAATGGTGTTAGTCTGTTTTCTTCGAGAGCTAAGTAGCAAAGCTACACGCTAACTATGGCCGGCTTGCCGTAGTGTTGTCGTATTCAGACGCAAGCGTTTGTCAGCTTTAGAGAGTGCATTTGTGCTAAATTAAAAATAAAAAGGTTAAACCTGCTCTCTGATCTGTAAAAGAACGCGAACCTCTGGTCAAAGCCACAGAGGAAGCTGGTCGCCATTTTGTGTCATCTCTCCTTAAAGCGGAAGGAGACGCCCACAGGAGGGTTACGTGTTTTCAGTGTAAATGCTGCTCTGTTGCTGTTCATTTCTGAAGTGAGAAGACTGGAAACTGTTAACAACATAATTTGTTTTAAATATATGGCTAAAACTACATTTGAGATCCAACATTTTTCAGTCAGGTCATCTGGACAGTTTCTTTTTTTTTGTGCTGAAACGTTTCGCTTTCGGTCCGGAAGTCTTCATCAGTCAAGGAAACAACAAAACTGATTCTTCAGTTAATATTGGCAAAGTTGAGAGTTTTGTTTATTTGACGGTGATTTCAAATTTCTTTGAAGGCTAAATACAAATAAAAGGTGAACATTAATTTTTTATTTTTTTGTAGTTTGTACAGTTTTTCTGAGGCGTTTATATTGTTTATATCAACATCAGCATTATATCGTTATCGACCGAAATTAAGAAATATATCGTGATAAAAGTTTTGGCCATATCGTCCAGCCCTAACAGAACTCTGAAAAGTGGATTTAGACTCAACTTTAAAAAAAAAAGGTCGTTTACAGAACCTCAATAATAAGAATAAATGACTTCACGACGCTTTAAAAACCATAAACAATTAGATTGTTAATTAACAAGATAAGATTTTTAAATAGATTTAGCAGTATGCAGATAAAACGATCATTAAATTTGGGTATGACTGAAAAGCACCAAGAGAAACAGCTGCACAGGATCAGCATGTTCTCATCTGGCTGCTGCTGATTTACATGACATCGACACAGAGTGAAATCTGCCAACACGTCGATGTTTTCTTACAAAACTTACTGAACCAGCAGAGACGGCGTCTAACGAGCGATAGGTGAGCTCAGACACACTCTTTCAAGTCGATGGATGTAGAAGCACTACATGCACACACAAAAACTCGGCAGCAGCTTTCCATCCTCCATCCACTCATCCTGAGTCTCTTCTTCATGTTAAAACTATACTTTTTTCTGGTTTGCACTTTGTCCCACAAAAAACAGGCCTATAGGAAAGGCATTGCCTGTTTACTACTTCTGCATTAGTCCTAATGTCATGGCTGCTAAAGCCACCATTTAACCATCACGTATAGTTTCTACTCGTTTAGCTGATCATTTCCTCTGTTATCCTCAGCTTTGATAGAACATGAATTCATCCAACCACAGGACACGTCCATCATCTTTCTGACCATCTGACAAGAGCTTCCACCCACTAAAGTCAGCGTTAGTTAATACTGCTTTCATGTTGCATACAGTTACCGGTTGCAATTCTAGACGGAGAAGCGGGTTTTGTCGGGTGATGGACTCCAAAGTGTCATGAGATGTATCGTGCAGTACCATCTGGACTGTTGAAAGGTCACCTTCATCCAGGCTTGACCTTTATGCACCAAGATTTCTCTGCAGACTCCCTGAATATTTACTCAGTACTGCACACTCTACATGCAAAAAACAAAAGTCTTCATGTAATTTATTTGTATTTCACAGTTTGGTGTAAAGTCACGAGCCAGAACCAGTTTTTGTTTGAATTTTTTTATTTTTTTTATTTGCCCAGTCCTGACATCCACAACGATCATAAGTTATTTGTGCGACCTTTAGCCTTGTTCAGGCTGATGTTAGTTGTGTACCAGTATTTTAAAGGCGTTTCTGTATTTCTTGGCCTGTATTCCATGTTTTTGAACATTTTGCTGGGATTCAGTCATAAACATTTTTTTTTTTTTTACAAGTTGTAGTCATGTTTAAAGTTTTTCATGTATACTACAAAACCACTTTTCTGGAAGTACAAGCAACCTTCTTTTAAAATGGCCTAATTATCAAATACCAGAAATACCATTTAAAGGACAACTGATTGTATACTTAAATTAATAAATGCACTGAGCCAACTTTATTACTGTAAATGTTACATAAAAATCAACCTGACATGGCATGTTGGATATGGTTAAATCAGTCTTATGCACCAGTCATCCTGGCTCCTTCACATCATATAAAATCATCACCGAGGTGCAGAAACTACGACAAGGACGAACTGAAGTGAATCGGGTATCAAAAAGGAAAAATATCCAGGGGAAAAGTTCAATCCTCTGCAGACAGAATGAGTGCAATTACCGTATTTTCTGCCATACATGTCGCTTCGCCCTATACGTCGCATCGGTCCAAATATGTCTATTACAGTGGAAGAATCCATAAATATTTTGTTTCGCCGTACACGTTGCATCTATTACGCGTCACCGCTGACAACCCAGAAACGAGGGCCGGTGTTGTGCCAAAAACTGATTGGCTGCCAAATGGGACATGGGAGGACTTTAACAAGAATTTAACAAGATTAACAAAACAATTATTTGTTTTCTCGAAATTATAGCAGAAATGTGTCTCAGTTGAACTATTACTTAATAAATGCACTTTAATGGTCAAATGAGCTGCATTTTGTCAAGGCTGCGCAGCAAAATGAAGCCGATTTGACTGTTGCTCCAGACAGACAACAGCAAGCCGATTGCATCATTAATAGCCACTTTTACCCATTGCATGATACAACGGCATGCTATACCGCTCGACTGCCATCTAGCAACTGAAAATGGTAGTGTTCAATATTTTCAGTCACAATGAATGAAAACAGTCAAATCTCAGGAATAATTTGGTTTATAAATATGGGACAAAATCCATAAATGCGTCGCTTCAGCGTATAAGTCGCAGGGCATGTAAATTATGAAAAAAACTGGTGAAAAATACAGTACCTTGATCAGATAGAAAGGCGCTATATAGTCCATTTAACATCCATTTACTTCTTTATAATGAAGGATTTTTTTTTTTTTTTTATCAGCCACTGCATTCGACTTCCTGTATAAATAAAGGCTAAATGAAAAACGACTTGTCCTAAATTACAACTGATCGCCTCTTTGTTCACTTTTTGAATTCTAACACTGGAACAACAACTGGACTTAAGAGCAGAAACACCAGTAAAAGACCGTGTGCAACAGAAAGTCCAGCTCTTCACGTCTCATTTTAATGACGTTACAGACAGAATGTCAAAGCCCAAGAAACAGATTAGAGCGGGACATACATTACAGGACGTTCTTCTAGCCTTTTAGGTACGAGATAAAAGGTCAAACAAAATTGACTTAACACACTTCTGCAGCTTTAGCTTCAAGTGAGAGGCGATGAAAGTGATGGTTCTGTCATGTGAAATCTTCAGCCTAACGCTGGTGTCACAGCAGAACAACGTCTAATAGTTTGTCCTGGTTGCAGTGGGACATGAGGACAGACAGGAATGTGGCTCAGTGCCTTTGCTTCGCAGATGTAAGTTGCTCCTATTACATAACTTTACAGCCCGACTTAAAAAGCTTTTATTGTTTTGCTCCAAAAATATCCAGTGGGTGGCTGTGCAGATAATGACCCAGTGTTCTGATGTTTGCCACAATGTGACTTCTATTAATATAATTCATACAAGCCTCAGGTGGGAATTAAACAAACCCGCTCTTTCTTGCTTTACACAAATACAACCGAAGAATAAAGAGGGAGTTATCTCAGTGTTCCCTGTCCCAAACTAGAAGAAGTGCGGTCACATTGGGAACAACGGCCTTTTAGTTTTCTCTCCAAATGGGTCAAATGAACAGCTGACAGTCTGGAGTTGGGACTGGTTTGGCAGCCTGCTTCATCAACAATAAGTCAATCATCACAGTCATCATTGACCAACTACTATTTATAGTCATGGAGCAAAAAAAAGTAGACTGGAACGCATGTGAGCAACCAGTTTGGTCAAAGTGACTGAAAAAAAGAAGGGGTTTACATTCCTTTTGCGAAACACCCGATAATTAAATTAAGATGATCCTCGTTATCATCGTCCTACAAGAGACAAGTTCACAACTAACGTCATGAAGAATAGCAAGTCCTCTTCAAACAGTTGGTTTACTTTCATTTGGAGTCGTTTCTAAATTGGTTTTGTCATCCAATAGATAAAATATTTATATAAAACAGCTGCTAAAAACCGTACATGTATTCTTTTATGATTGTCTACTGTTGTCTTCGTTCTTTGTTAAAACCATGTCTCTTGTAAACGAGTCCTCGCGGCTCGATGAGACTAACCCGAATAAATAAAAGGTTGAACGAATGAATGAATTTGTGGATTCCAGTGTTGCATGCTAACGCGGCTCAGCGTGAAAACAATGAAAGGTTTTTCTAAGGAACGGGTTACGAGGACGAAGGCATTCTAGGAATTACCTAAGTCTGCTGCTGAAATCAATACATGGTGACACACTAACGAAAATGTGGTAATATACGAACACTGATGAAAAACTAGGGCTGCAGTAGCTCCGCGCAGTTTGAGCCCAGGCTGCATCGGGAAGAGCACCCGGTGCACTTTTTAAAATAAAATCGACATTTTAAGTCAAGGGCTTGCAATCTTTGCAATCAAAATACACATGTACGCACCTTCCCCCACCAAATAAAATGTGTCCAGAGCTGTGAAACGTACCGCAAGATTGAAATAAAGCTAAATATTAGAATAGCATTACTCATTAAGTTTCACATAAATAGTAGAATTAAACAAACTTGTTCCTTTCTTAAGAAATAAGAGCCAACTCCTATGAGAAGGGGAAACAATCCCTTTCATAAAATGCAACTGATTTACAGAGGCTTATGTGAGTGGAAAATAATAGATAATGCACTTTGAAATAAAGCGTACATTTGTATCCTAGTAAATTGTTTGATTACCGTATTTTCTGCCGTGCACGTCGCATCAGTCCAAAAACGTCTAATAAAGTGGAAAAATACATAAATATATCGCTTCGGTGTATAAGTCGTACGACATGCAAATTATGCACACACACAAAAAAAACGCGACTTATAGGCCGAAATATACGGTACACATAAAAATATCTGGCAGTTCAAAGATATTTATTTGCAACTCACTGAGTTTTCTCTAATAACGACTGATAATTTATGTCTTTTCCCCTCTAATCTACAGTAACTCTGTTAAAAGGGTTTTATTTTCTTATGGATTTCAAGGAAAACGCGTAGTGGATGGAAGATAAACCAATGAAGTGGTAAACTGGCAGGACAAACCTGATCGATGTGTTCCTTCAATCATCGTTCTGCTACAGAATGCTTCTTCACTAACTACCAAAAACTGGACAAAATATTGCAACATTTTGCTGCTGAGCGCATAAAAATATTCAATTGCGTATTATTTTTGGTCGAAGCTACAAAGAGTCACTGCAGACGAACTAATGAGCCAGCACCTGATCCGAATGAAACTCCAGAAAACTGAACCAGTTTAAGTGAGAATGTTCCCAAATAATAACTCATCTAAGATATCTATAGCTCAGTGAAGTGTAATCAATCATTTCCCAAGACTTTCTTAACCCCTCAGACGAGATTTTCATACGAGCACACATAATCCTGAGACAGATGTTATGAACATGAAAGATCTCTGCACTGACAAAAACAAAACCCCTTGAGAATTATAGTTTGGGGGAAATAAATGTGGCACTCACAGGGTGCCAAGCAAAAAACAGAAGCAGTGGTGGTGCTCCTTGTGCACAGCCTACACACTATGACCAGTTTCACACTATGACCAGTTTGTGTTCAACTGGAGTGACATGAATCCAGGACTGGGCAGAGCTGCTGGGAGGAAGCTCACTCTGGATCCCTCACTGGCTATCACAAACACCTGCACAATCATAAAGAAGCACTTAAATACATTCAAGAAAAACTGAGGAGACCCTTCCCTTCGGCTATGACCTCACTTCCTTTGACGTCACTACCCAGGCAGGGGGGGATGGGCAAAGAGCAGTTAGCTAGTAAAACCAGATTTTATGTAGCTCCCGTGTCTCGGTGCTGTGCACGAACACCTTCCAGCCTCTTCTCAGTTCAGTTTTGAACGCAGCAGAGCTGCTGTCCACACCGAGACACGGGGACGGTGCGCGAAGCCGCTAAGTGCTGACTAACAGTCACCGGAGGAGCAGAGGGACACACGGACCTCTCGGGTTCTCATGGACGGTAGAAGAACAACCACATACCTCTGAAGTGCATAAGAGCCACGGGCTGAAAGGGCCCATTGGAGTTGGGTGCATCCACAACCATCCTGTCTTCAGATTTATTGCATGTCAACATCTAAACCTCAACCAGGAAGGCGATCCACTCAGGGCGAGAGGCCAGCCTCCATTTTAGCACAAAAGCAGATCAGAAAATGAAGCTCTCTCCGCTGCTGGAGGGAACTGGCTAGTTAGTGACGTAAGCGGCGGAGGAAGCAGCTGATTGGCTGAAATCGTACCGCTCTGGACCAATGGGGACACAGACTGCTGTGAGAAAAGACGAGTGATTGGAGGAGAATGAAACAGGGGGTGGGGTTAGTCCTGGTTTTTTTTCTTCTTCTTCTTTCTTTCTTATTCAGTTCCTCCTTTTCAATCACTACCCTCTGGAGGCGCTCTGCTACAGATCCCAGATCAGATTGACTTAAATCTTTTCCACAGTCTTCACATTAGCTGGGGGGTTAGAATAATCAGATTTAGGGTAAGCAGCTGGATATAACTTACTGAGCGTGCTCAGAGAGAGAGAGAGGCCCTGGCTGAGTCTTCTTTTATTGTTTTTACCAAAGAGAGGTGGAGAAAAAGGGTCAGAGAGGGCCTCACATGTACAGATTAAATGAAGAGAGTCAACATGAACTACACGAGGACTAAGAACTACTGAAGACTCAAACTCCTGTGGTGTATGGGAAGAAAGAACAGTAGTTTATTCAAAGCTTTGCAGGGACTGTTGATGCACGAGAAACTTTATTTACAAGAATCCCGTCTTTATTAACACTTTCAAATGAATGCATATCACGACATCTTAAATTAAGAAATGACAAGGTGATAGCCATTTTGAAATTAACTTTATGAACAATATCACATATCATCTTAGGGCTTAATGACTCTACAGCAGCATCAAATATCTAAAATTTACTCACCTCTTAACAATTTTGTGTTAGCTATGGCAGCCATCTTGAATCGAGTTGACTCCAGAAGTTAATCAGTTTTAGAGGTACATCCAGTGGTCAGTTTCTGAACGTTTCAATAAAATATCCTCAACGGATCATGAGATATTTTGCTAACAGACAGGCAGACTTCATTCAGGAGTTAGTAGCAAAGTTTTAAACAGAGGTCCTGCGCAACAGTTGAGTGCTCAGATTAAAAATTGAGGCTCAGTCTCAGCAACTACCACATCAAAGTTGACCGAAACAATCTGTAAAACTGACGGAGCTGCAGCCATTTTTCGGTTTGCTAAGATCTTTTTGCCGTGGCGGCCATTTTGAATTGGGTCGGCTCTAAAAGTTCATCAGTTGTAGCTGCACACTCACTGATTACTTTCTAAGAGGTTCACTCAAATCTATCGATAAATAAAATGTAAATCGATAAACACATCTAATCAATGGTTTTATGCAGAAAAACTGGTTCATGCATTTGTCACGTCTAGACTGGACTGGTTTATTATCTGGGTGTC